TGTGTTCTCAGCAAGTTATCATACTTTATAGTCCTAACAGCTACCATTTATCAGGCATTATCTTACATAAGCCTCACAGCAACCCATTTTACTGATGTGGAAACCGAGGCTCAGAGAGGTATGGTCATGTAAGCCACACAGCTCCTCAGTGGCAGCTCTGACATTCAATGCCAGGCCTGTCTGACATCAGAGCCCGGGAAATAGGAGACTTTCAGGATGACCGCCACTGGGTCCACGCCAGGCCACGCATGGTGCTCTCTGGCATGGTTTGCATTCAGCGGGATCTGAGAACCAGGCACCGGAGTAGGGGTACCTTTCGCACACTTTCTCCAGACCCCTCTTGGGTGGCGGTGCCGTTTTGAGGGAGCATGTGGCGTCTGGGGGTCCTGGGAGGGTTTATTTCATCCTCCCTCCCGGTGCTTCAGGTTTGAAGGCGCCGCTGCAGATGGCAAGGTGAGGCCTCCCTGGGAAACCACCATCTGCCCAGAATGAGCGGGGAGAGCTGGCATGCCACCCTCCCTCCCGCCCACACGGCCACGAGGCTGGTGGGCCCAACACGCTTTTCTCTGGGCACCTGTTCTGTCCTCCCTCAGGCGAACCAGGAGTCGGGTGGGAGGTGCAGGGGCGGCACTGGCTGGAGGCTGGATCAGGCCTGAGTCCCCAGGCAGGAGGCGATATATATTTTTATTGATCTTAGAGAAAGATAGAAACATCAATGATGAGAGAGAATCATTGATCGGTTGCCTCTGCACACCCTTCCCCGCACTCCAGGAATCGAGCCTGCAACCTGGGCATGTGCCCTGACCGGGAATCGAACTTGTGACCTCCTGGTTCACAGGTCGATGCTCAACCACTGAGCCACGCCGGCCGGGTGTGATAGAGGACTCTTAAGCAGAGAGCTCAGGGCAGTGTGTCCAGGTGAAAGTCTGGAGCTGAGGAGCTGCTAGGCCTCAGCTGTGCTGCCTCCTTCGAGTGTTGCCGGAGCACCTACTATGTGCTGAGCCTGGGCCTAGCGAGGGAAATCGGCAGGGAACAAGGCACTCAGTCTAGACCTGGGAGCCAGCAGGTGCTCTCCACTGCCCATCGAGGTGGGGCTGAGAAACAGGCCTCTGGGGTCCCCTCTTAGCCACTCATCTTACCCCCGCAGCCATGCACGACACCCGCTTTAGATAATACTGGTTCACAGCTGAGGACTTGAGATCCAGAGAGTGAAGCAACTTGCCCAGGGTCACCAGGCTCAGGAATGGCCAAGCGGAATTTAAACCCAGAGCCTCTGCCCGGCACTGGCCTAACCACTAAGCCAGTGATCCTTAACCTTGGAAGGGAGCATGAAAATCACATGGAGATCGTGTTTCTTTGTGGGGGGGACCGTGTTTAAAATCCAGATTCTCTCCTCCCCTCCCCTGCACCCCGCCCCAGAAGATGCTAACCCAGCATGTCTGAGAAATGGGCATTTTAACAAGCTGCCCAGGGAATCCTGATACAGGCCTGGAGAGGGCCTCGCTTAGAGAGCCTGGGCCATGGCAGAGCTGGGGCCCCTCCCCACCCAGGCACCCCCATCCCCACCCGGCCCTGGAGATGCTGGTCGGAGGGGCTCAGCTCCCACACGTGGCCCTGCCCTCTAATCTCTCCTATAAGCTGCTTGTCCTCTAAGCAGCCCTGGGGAGCCAGTGACTTGGGCAGCCTGGCCCAGACCCCTGACCACCCCCTTCAGCCTAGCCCGGGGCTCCCTGCACCCTCTCCATGGCTCTTCTCAGACCCCCTACCCCTCAGGCCTGCCAGGGCTGACTGGGCCCATCTGTGTAGGGTGAGGCCTCTCAGGGAAGAGCTCCAGGGAAATTCCATGTCTCTGGGTGGGGGGTTCTCTGTGGGGAGTCCCATCCTTTCCAGCCCCTCCTGAAGTTTCCATGGCAACTACTGTTGCCATGGTATTGCTGGGTGCAGAGCTGGTGCAGAAGATGGTGGACCCCAGGCCCGCCTACCTACCCTAAGCTCTGTAAAAATAGATGTCCTATCTTCACGACCCTGGGAGATCCCAAATACTAGGGGGTCACCCTCCCACAGGAGTCAGTAAGGGGAGGGAAAGATAGAGACAAGAAGCCCCCGCCCCCCCCAGTTAATCACCCCTTCTCTGGGCTGCCTGGCGCACCTCGCTCCAGCACGTATCACACTGCATTGCATTATCTGTTTACTCGCCTGTCTCTCCCACCACCGTGTGCGCTCCTTGGGGTGGGAGCTGTCTGACTCATCATCTCCCATCCCCAGGGCCCAGCACAGGGCCTGGCACAGAGCAGCTGCTCTCAAATATGTCCTAGATGGAACCGAATTGAATTACATAAAAAGCCAAGCCCGGCTCCTCGAGTTTAGTGAGCAACGGGGTTTGACAGGGAAGCTCCCAGGCTCTGGGGTCCAACAGACACTTGGGTTTGAATCCTAGCTCCGCCATCCCTACCGGGTAACCTTGGACGAGTCACTCCACATCTCTGAGCCTCAGTTGTTTCAGCTGCAAAATGATAATTTCCTGCCCAGCCAGTGTGGGTCAGTGGTTGAGCGTTGACCTATGAACCTGGAAGTCACCCTAAGATTACCTACCCGGCACATGCCTGGGATGCAGGCTTGCTCCCCAGTAGGGGGCGTGCAGGAGGCAACCGATTGATGATTCATCATTGATGTTTCTATCTCTCCCTCTCCCTTTCTCTCTGAAATCAATACAAAATATATATAGTTTTTAGATGATAATTTCCATATCAGAGCACTGTTGTGGGGACTTGCAGTTTCAGTCAATATGAAGAGCCTCCTTGTATGAAGAGCCTCCTTGTGCTAAGCCCTGTGCTGGGCACTGGGGTACAGTGTGCACAGAAGCATGCAAGCCCTGCCCTCTGAAGCTCAGGTTTGCAAAAGGGAAAAGTACTTGCCTGGCACCTAGAAATGATGAATAAGTGCAGGATTTCTCATCCTTCTTCCTCATTAAAGTGGCTGATTCCTCCCCAGTAGCTTTCAATCTCCCCAGAGGAGGGGCAGGGTGAGGACAGGCCCTCCCCAGGGCTCCAAGAAGAGGCCTTGAACCCAGGAGCCTGGGCCTACTCTGTTTTCCCCAGAACTCTCTGCCCCAACCCTGGGGTGCAGGAAGCTGGGTGAATCTAGGTCAGTCTCTGGGTTGGGGGGCAGGAGACTGGGGTTCTTTCTCTGGCTCTGCCCCAGCCCTGTATGACCTTGAGTGTGTCTTTTCCCCTTCCTGGGCCTCTATGTGCCTCTCCATGAATGTGGGGGCTGAACATAGTCCCTCAGGCTCCAGGCTGTTCCCCCCTTTGCGGGCCCTGGGGGTGCCATGACTATGGGTTCCAACAGCCTCATCCCTGAGAGGCCTCCACCCTCATGCTTGTGCCAGCCTGGGTGGGGCCACTGGGTGGAGAGGGCAGGGATGAGAAGAGCTGACCGGACAGAGTGAATTTGCACCCATGAGACTAAGCCGAAAGGACTGCGGAGATTGACATGCACACAGGCAGGTGCCTGTGGTACAGACATCCGGTCTGGAGGCAGGGGGTGATTTGGGGTCCCCTCAGTCCAGTTCTTCTTGGGAGCTGGGTCTGCCTGGGGCTGAAGGGCAGGGAGCTTCCACTGCAGAGTCAAACAGACCTGGGTCCAGGGCCTGCTCTGTTAGATACGGGCTGTGCGACCTGAACACCTCTGAGCCTCAGGTTCCTCATCTGTAAATGGGAATAATAAGAACGCCTAACTCACGGGGCTATTGTGTAGAGTCCATGAGAGATTGCCCACAGAAAGCCTGGCATGCAGTAGGCATTAAGAAGCATGAGTTCTCCTTGCCTCCTACTTCCTCCCATCCCCCTCACCCTCAGCCCAGCCAGATGGGCCCGGGAAGGGGAAGTGAGACGCTGCCCATCCCCACGGCGGAAGGGAAGGGAGAAGGTGTGGCTCCGTTTCCTTGGGATCCGCTCTGTGGCCACTGGGCACTTAGGCATGTGGGGCACCCTGTGCCTCCCTTTCTTCCGGCTTCAATGGCAGTAGCTGGGTTGGGCTGACCTGAGACAGGCCTGGGGACTTGTTGGTCTTGTCTCCTGGCAGCTCAGATGCATAAATTCTGTGGCCCGGGGAACTTGGGGAGCTCTGTTTGTCCCAAATAGCTTCTATTTCTTATATATTTAAGGCCCGTCACCTATGTCGAGGTGCGGGGGTTCCCATATAGGTGCTGCTCCTAAGTGGGACATGCACAGGTGGTCTGGACCATCCGCTTGAGGCTTGCGCCAGTACCTTCTGGTCAGACACTTTCACAGAGACAGCACCGAGGTCTGAGCCGAGCCGGAGAAATTACACACAGACGAACCGGTTAGATGGAAGCACACAGGGGGTTTATTTACCAGTTCCTGATGGGTCTCAGACGCTGGGAAGGATCCACCCGGCGATGCTCGCTGACACACACACAGGGGTAGACGGCGCCGTTGGCTGCTGGCTCTTTCCTCGATCGACAGTTAATTGGGCAGAGTTTCGTGCTGGAAACCGAGACGTGAGCACTCACAGGTCCTCACGCTCTGGCGACAGGAGAGCTGTGCGCTGGAGAGCGACACGCTGCTGGGTCCATCAGACTGTCTGGTTATATACCGCTCTGTAGGCGTGGTCTTCGCTGGTGTGTGCGTTATCAGCGGCTGCCATATGTGGACCCACCCGGGGTCTGCTAATCTATGGGTGTGTACAGGCTTTGGGCGTGCCCATCAGATAGGTTGTTTACCAGGACTAGTGGGGTTACAAGGGTGCATTCTTGGGTCTCACACAGTATTCCTATATCTAACATTAATTACTATAACAGTCCACACAGGGTTACATGCTTTCAGTCTTACCTTCTCAGGTCCTAATATTAAGTACCATAATGATTACCATAACACGGTTCCACCTTTCTCAGCTGCCATCGGCCCTTAGCGACATGAGACCTGTGGGCTAAGATGCGGTAGGGAGCGCCAGGGGATGTCTGGAGCTCCGAGGGGCAGGGCAGGTGACCCTCCTCTCGCCTCTAATTCCCTGCAGAGACTTCCTGCCCCGAGGATCTGGCATTGTCACCAGACGCCCGCTGGTCCTGCAGCTGGTCAATGCCTCCACAGGTGCGTGCCCTCCTCAGCCAGGCTGGCCGCTCCAGCCCCCACCCCCTCCCCAAGGAGAGGCCCAGCAAAACCACTGGACTAGCTTGCCCGGTGACTGTGGGCGGGTCCCCCCTCCCCCTCGGAGCCTCAGTTCCCCATCTGGACAGTGGGGTTGACCATGCATAATGGGCAGGAGGCGTTGTTATGCGGAGGGAGGAGCAGGCCGTGTTTGGGATGGGGTTCTATTCCCGGTGGGAGGTGGGACCCGGGTGGGTTCCGAGCTATGATGCTCAATCCCGCTCCCTCTCCAACACCTCCACCCCCTGCCTTTGGAGCAGAATATGCCGAGTTCCTGCACTGCAAGGGGAAGAAATTCACCGACTTCGAGGAGGTGCGCCTGGAGATCGAGGCTGAGACCGACCGGGTCACCGGCACCAACAAAGGCATCTCGCCGGTGCCCATCAACCTCCGAGTCTACTCGCCGCACGGTGAGAAGGCCTGCAGGGGCGGCCTCCGGGGTTCCCTGGCTCAGCCTCGCCCCTGAGGACCATTCCTGGCCCAACCCTTTGCTGGCTACGCTCCTCCGCAGACTCCGCCCCCACAGCTGTCCTCTGAGCATCCGACCCCAAGCCCCGCCCAGCCGTGGCCCCGCCCACCCCGGCCACGCCTTCCCGGACCCGCGCTGCAGCCCAGCACCTTCCCCTAACCCCGCCCACCCCGGCCACGCTCCCTTGGGGGTCCTCTCCGGCCTGGCCCTGTTCCTGCATCGGCCCCCCAATGGCCACGCCACTCGCCTTGAGCCCGCGCTCTAACCGCCCTGTCCAGTGCTGAACCTGACCCTGGTGGACCTGCCCGGAATGACCAAGGTCCCGGTGGGGGACCAGCCTGCAGACATCGAGTTCCAGATCCGGGACATGCTCATGCAGTTCGTCACCAAGGAGAACTGCCTCATCCTGGCCGTGTCCCCGGCCAACTCGGACCTGGCCAACTCGGATGCCCTCAAGATCGCCAAGGAGGTGGACCCCCAGGGTAGGTTCCCACCCACAGCCAGCGAAGGCGCAAGGCCTGGGGGGGCGGGGGTCTGAATTACCCCTTTAAACATTGTGTTGGCCACTCTGTGGAGAATAAATGGGGCAGGCAGTGGGTGATGGAGGGAGTGGGGTGATGGAGGGCAAGTACAGATGCAGACAACCCTCTCATCGCTGCCCTCCAGGTCAGCGCACCATCGGGGTCATCACCAAGCTGGACCTGATGGACGAGGGCACAGACGCCCGCGATGTGCTGGAGAACAAGCTGCTGCCCCTGCGCAGAGGTAGTCCGCCCTCCCCCTGCTCATCTCACTGCCCTCCCCCTTCACCCCCCGCCCTACAAGGCTGGTTGACCCTGACCTTGGCCCCACCCACAGGCTACATTGGGGTGGTGAACCGGAGCCAGAAGGACATTGATGGCAAGAAGGACATCACGGCTGCCTTGGCCGCCGAACGCAAGTTCTTCCTCTCCCACCCATCCTACCGCCACTTGGCTGACCGCATGGGCACGCCCTACCTGCAGAAGGTCCTCAACCAGGTAGGGGCTCAGGCCAGAATGAGACCCTGGAAAGCAGCCTGAGAACAGTCATTTAAGTGTGCTTGGCGAGGGTGACCAGCAGAGGCTAGCATCCCCAATATGCAGATAAACACACTGAGACCCAGAAAGCAAAGGAGCTTCCCACAGTCACAGAGTGAGGTGGCAACAGAGCTTTACTGGCCTTTCCCTGTCTGGGGCCTGGGAGGGGAGCCCTGGAACCCCCAGGATGGAGAGAAGACCGAGATCTTGTGTGGAGGGTGGCACTGGCCAGGGCTTGGGTTGGGCGGCCAGGATTGGCATGGACTCAAGCTGAAGAGCTTGGTTCCTTCTGAAACGGGGAGAGGCTGGTCTGGAGATGGGGGTGGCGATCCCAGGGGCTCCCCTAGGATGTTTCGCCATCTGGACTGGGACTTCAAGAGCTGAAGCGCGTGTGTGTTGACAGGAGGAAGGCAGTGGGGAATGCAGGGTGGCTGGGGCAGGATTTGGGAGTCTGGAGGCCACAGACCTGGGTTCCGATCCCAGCTTTGTCACCCATCCACCGAGACTCTGTCCAGCTCTCTGAGCCCCTATCTCTGCATCTGTACATGGCGGTCATGGTGATCAGACCTGTCTCACCGGGTCACTGTACAGGCTCAGGGAGGTCTGTGTGTGAGGACCTAGCCAGACTGAGCCCCAGGCCTTGAGAAGGGGCAGCCTGCCAGTCGTCCCTGCCCCTGCTGCATTTTTTTAAAATCCTCACCCGAGGATATGCTTTCATTGATTTTTTAAAAATGTTTTTATTGATTTTTAGAGAGAGGGGGAGAGGGATAATAGAGAGAAACATCACTGATCAGCTGCCTCCTGCACACCCCCTACTTGGGATGGAGCCCACAACCTTGACATGTGCCCTGACCGGGAATCAAACCAGTGACCTCTTGGTTCATGGGTTGATACTCAACCACTGAGCCACACAGGCCAGTTGTTTTCATTGATTTGAGAGAGAGGGGGAGGGAGAAAGAGAGAGAAAAAACCTGGATGTGAGAGAAAAACACCGATCGGTTGCCTCCTGTACCCACCCCGACTAGGGATCGAACCCGAGACCCTTCCGTGTGCCGAGCCGGCACGGCCATGAGTAAACCTGAGAGGGGGCGGTGACGGATGGAGATGACAGGAGAACAGGTGGGACGTTGCCCTCTGATGGAGAGACAGCGCCCGGGCCTGCAAGCCTAGTCTTTATTTTACAGCAGATTCCACGAGGCAAAGTAAGGGTGTGGTCAAGATGTTTACAACGTTCTTGTGGGTTTCAAACCTACTCAATTACATGCACCTGATCAAGCTTTGTTTACTTGCTGCACCTCCCGCAGCCTGTATCACTCAGCCACGTGGGACCACAGGTCCGCACCATAAGGTCAAGCTTACAACTCAGCCTTTGGCTATAATTGTGCTGGGACTTGCACGTGGCTTTGCCACGAGAGGATCATGCCCTCTCATTAGTCCCAGGCTTGAACCTGTCCAAACGCTGTAGCCGCTCTCCACACTTCTGTATACAGTGGGGCCTTGACTTACGAGTGTCCCGACTAACGAGTTTTTTGAGATACCAGCTGTCTCTCGGCCGATTTTTTGCATTGAGTTGATAGAGTAATTTGAGTTAACAAGCTCCTTAACGAGCTCGGTCTTGGAAGGAATTAAACTCATAAGTCAAGGCCCCACTGTATGAGACAATGTTCCAATCAACGGAGCCATCCAGCCAGGGCGCCCCTAATACATTTTATGTGGCCCTCGTGGTATCTAAAAATATTAAATTAGTCAAGCCTGGTTGTTATGGCTCAGCAGTTGAGCGTCGACCTATGAACCAAGAGGTTGAGGTTCGATTCCCAGTCAGGACACATGCCTGGGCTGCGGGCTCGATCGATCCTTAGTGGATGATTCAATAAAAATATTTTTTTTAATAAAAATGTTAAATTAGTCATAAAGCAGGTAATCTCAAATAAAAATCTAGATTTCTGCTTCTTTGAAAATTGAGTCACTCACTCATTAATTCTGTGAGGACTGCTGTGTGCCAGCCCTGCCCTCGGACAGCCTTTGTTCTGCTGGGCAGGGCCTTGGCCCCTCTTGAGCCCTCCACCTCACCACATCCACAGCCCCCCTGGCATCCTGGACCCTGCCTGGCCCTGTGGGCATTTGGGGTTTGTGACTTGTGACCTTGACCTTAACCCTTGTCTCACCCCCACCCCCAGCAACTGACGAACCACATCCGAGACACGCTGCCCGGGCTGCGTAACAAGCTGCAGAGCCAGCTGCTGTCCATCGAGAAGGAGGTGGACGAGTATAAGAACTTCCGTCCTGACGACCCAGCGCGCAAGACCAAGGCCCTACTGCAGTGAGGGTCTCCCCAGCTCTCCACGCCCCATCCCTGAGTGCGCCACCCCCCAGCCTCTCCTCTCCCGGGGCCCCCTCCACTGCACCCCCTCAGGCCACACCACTCTCCCCCCAGGATGGTCCAGCAGTTCGCCGTGGACTTTGAAAAGCGTATTGAGGGCTCAGGGGACCAGATCGACACCTATGAGCTGTCGGGGGGAGCTCGCATCAACCGCATCTTCCACGAGCGCTTCCCCTTTGAGCTGGTCAAGGTAGGACGGGCTCCCCGGGGGAAGGGTGGGGGGCTCAGGCCTCTCCCATGGATACCTGGGTCCTGGTGCCCAGCCCTGGGAGTGGGGCAGGCCCCATCTTGACCTCCCAGGTGTTGGGACAGGCCCTGACGGGCCATCTCTCAATCTCCTACACAGATGGAGTTTGACGAGAAGGAACTCCGAAGGGAGATCAGCTATGCCATCAAGAATATCCATGGCATTAGGCACGTATTGGGACCAGGGAGGGGGGCCGAACCCCAGAAGGCAGGGGGTCTAGTGCAGAGGCAGAGGGAGTGATGGATGAGCCTCCCTCAGGAAAGACCAAGAGCCCGGGTCCCCTCTCCCCTCAACCCCGACTTTCTGGCTCCCAGTTCCGACAGGCTCTGGGCGGGGGAGGTGGATGGGAGGCCTGGGCCACCTGCTCCCTGCGGCCTGCTGCCCTCCTGTGCTGTCCCTGGGAGCAGGGCCTGGAGGCTGGACGAGCTGGGCAGAGCCCAGGATACAGGTGGCCAGTAGCACCCTCTGGGCCTGGGCTCCCTGCCCATCGCTAGGGTGAGACAGCGCCCCCGTTCTCTCCAGGCGGCTGCACAAAGCTGCCCAGCAATGAGTAGGCCCTGGGCGGAGCATCCCGGTACTGGCCTGTGTCCTTTTAGGATGGAAGGGGGCCTCTCACCCTCCAGGTCCTCCACAGTCCCCGGATCCCCACTTCTCACCTTCTCGCCTTCTAGCGAACCCCAAGGCCTGTGGAGCCGGAAGGGGGCCTGGGAAATAGACTTCCTTAAAGGCTTAGACCCCCTTCGGGGACCCAGATCTACACAAGGTCATTGGAAGCACCTGCTATATGCCAGGCAGTGAGAGACCAGGATGCCCCTGCTTTCAAGCAGGTTCAATTCCAGGTTTGGCAGGGAATTCATAGACTGACACTAGGAACTGCACTGGCCAGGGCACAGAAAAAAGAAATCTCTCCTAGTCCTAAAATAAAACGCCCTATTCCTGGAAAGGCTCTTAAAGAGAACCTAGTTCAGCAGTTTTCAAACCGCTCCTGGCCACAGAACCTGTGCATGAACAGAATCTTAAGAGGAAGCAAGACACGAAGGCAGATATAGCAGACCTTGTCTTGTCCCAAAGAGCATCAGTTGAAAGTCCCTCCTTAGAATCCCTCCTGCCCATTTTGCAGATGGGGACACTGAGGCCCAGAGCGGGGTAGGGGGACCCGAGGGCAGAGCTCAGGGGTGTGGGGCACTCCTGGCAGGAGCTGGCCTGTGACACTGCCCTTCTCCCGCTCCGGGCGTTCAGAACGGGGCTCTTTACCCCAGACATGGCCTTTGAGACCATTGTGAAAAAGCAGGTGAAGAAGATCCGAGAACCGTGTCTCAAGTGTGTGGACATGGTTATCTCGGAGCTAATCAACACCGTTAGACAGTGCACCAAGAAGGTAACCAGCGGCCCGGCCAGCCCCGCCTCTGCCCCGTCCTGCACTGCTGACAGGCGCCCCTCCCCACGCCCCCTCCGCCTCCTTGGTAGCATGTCCAGACCTCGGCGGGGTGAGAAAGGCAGGCCACCACAGACCAGGACAGGGCGGGGGGCTTTCTGTGGGGGCCTCACCCACCCTCCTGGCCCCCGGGGCCCAGGACACCAAGGGATTAGACGCTGTGAGATGACAATGATCGTGGCTATTGACCCTGAGAGCCACCAAGAGCTCCCAGCTCAGGAGAATAGAGCTTGAGGGGACCCTGAGCCCCCTCTCTGCCCTCAGAGGTGGGCCATCTTTGGGGGCTCCAGGGAGGGGTCTTGGGGAAGCCTGGGCCCTGGAGACAGTTGAGGGACAGGTCAGCCAGAGAGGTGCGGAGGACCTGGGTCTAGCAGGTACCCCCACTCCCACTGTCCTTCATCCTCCTCATCCCCCCCCCCCGCCCTCACGCAGGACCCCACTCAGGACCTCCGCCTTCCCCTCCATCACATCTCCTTCCGGAGACAGCGCCCCTTCCATCTGCTATGCCATCTGAGCCTCGAAGAACCACCCAAGGAGGGCAGGGCAGGGAGGACGGCACCCATTTCACAACAAGAAAACCGAGGCTCAGGAGATCCAGGCCATGTTAGCTAGGAGGTGGCAGAGCTATTACTGTAAGCCAGGGCTTTGGACTCCAAGTCCAGTGCTCACTCGATTCCACCCCCCAGCCTCCCTTCCCTTCCTCCCCACTGCTGCCCTGGCCCTCTCTATCACCACCTCCACTCTTTCTGTCTTTCCTCTTCTCTCTCTTTCTGTTTTTCCGAGCTGAGTGCCTCCAGGGCCCTTTGGAGGAGAAAGGGGAGGGCCGGAGCAGAGCAGGGAGCTGAGCGTGGAGGTCAGGCAGCTACACTGCAACTCCAGGAGGCACCGTCTGCACCTTGGCCATGGCCATGCACGTGGAGCCCCCTTTAGTTGTGCAGGGCACAGCCTGGGCAGCCGGCTGCAGCACCCCTGGTGGAAGTAGGGGGTCGTGCTGGGCTCTGGAGTCAAGGTGGAGTGAATGCAGGAGGTGCTGGGAAACCTGGAATTGAACAGAATGGGTGGGCGGTGTTCTCGCCTTGGTCAGCCCCTTAGGAGGACCCTAGGCTGTGACCAAGACGGCATTGGAAAGAGAGAGGGGGCAGGCTCAGGGCAGCTGAGGAGCGAGGGACCCAGGGGCCTTGTACGGAGCAGGGGGGTTGGTCCTTCAGAAGCACCCCCCCCTCCTGAGCCTGGGGGATGCTGGCAGCACCTGGGAGGCGCCAACCCCGGGAGGCGGTAGGGAGGGCCGGGTCCCATGCTCACATTGTCTTCTGTTCTCTCTCTTTCTCTGTGTCGGTGTCTCTCTCTCTTCCCCATGCCTGTGCCATCCTCCACCCTGACCCTGGTCCTGCTTGGCTTTCACTCCCCTCCTTCTTCCCCCCACTCCCGCCCACCTGTGGCTGCTCCTCCTCCTCCCCCCTCCTCCTCCTCCTCCCTGGGTGCAGGACAGGCCTCTTCACACCTGACCTCGCTTTTGAAGCCACAGTGAAAAAGCAGGTGCAGAAGCTCAAAGAGCCCAGTATCAAGTGTGTGGACATGGTAGTCAGTGAGCTCACGTCCACCATCAGAAAGTGTAGTGAAAAGGTACGGCGGCCACCTGGGCGGGGCGGGGCCTGGCCCCCCTTCCTCACGGCTTCGGCCTCCCGTGGGCAGAACCATCTGCTGAGCAGGCCTGGCAGCCTCTCAGCCGCCCACGTGGACGCCCATGCTGGCCGGGCGATTCTGGCCTGGGGATCCCTGCCAGTTTATAACCCTGGGTCTGCGTGCACTCACAATCCCTTCAGGCCTCCATCTCGCCCAGAAGACTTCGCTCCAACCCAAGCATCCTCAATGCAGTGGCCTCTCCCACCAATAAGAGTAACAGTAACGTTGACGATAAGGAACAGGCTGCTATTTATTGAGCAATTGCTATGTGCCAAGCACGAAGCTAAGTGCTTGCCTGTTACCTGCCTTAATCCTCTCAGCAACCCCAAGACGTGGTAGTATTCTCCCCACTTTACAGATGGTGACACTGAGTCTCCGTAAGGAAAAGCAGAGGGGGATTCAGATTTGGGAGGCAGAGGGAAGAGATCTGGGATCAGGGCCTCCTGGGGGAAGGGAGCTGTCCCGGTCCCTCAAAACCAATTTGCCTCAAAGCCTATCGGATGACTCACTGTACGTTCCTCCATACGCATCTGGCAGGGTCAGCCTCTTGGAGTCCCCTGTGACCTTTTAGATGCCTTTTTCCCATTTGTCTGCTTTTAAGCCTTTTGAGGACTTTTAGCCAGATTGTCTGAAGCAGTGCTTCCCAGGGGAGTGCCTGGGCATCCGCTGTCCAGGGGGGCCTTTCTAGAACGCACATGCTGCCCCCTCCAAGCTGGCTGGGCTGGAATCCCTGCGGAAGAGCCCAGCTTGGCCTGTATTTGAAAACTCCCTACGCTGGGGAGGTGGGGGCCATCTGCCTTAACTTCCCTTTTCAAATAGGCATCACAGTTTTCGTGGCTCACACGCAATTAGTCACGTGCACCCCTTTCACAGCCCCGTCTCCTTTTAGCCCACTTTTGAGTCAAATAGGGATAGACTAAGCAAATGAGCATCTTTTCAGTGCCCGGTGCAGGTGGAACGAAAGCTGGACTGGACTCTCCCATTCCACAATATTGTGACATCCAGGTCACGAGCCCAGGGCATCGCGAATCCCAGGCAACGCCATCTTTTGTCAGACGTTGAAAACGCTGCCTCAAACCCCTTTACACACGAAGTCAAGACGTAACTAAAATTTTTAAAATAACTTTTATTTTTCAATTACAGTTGACGTACCCTATTATTGTAGTTTCAGGTGTACGCCCGTGATTCGACATGTATATCACTTATGAAGCGATCACCCCGATAAATCTAGTACCCATCTGACGCCATACATAGTTATCCCAATATTATTGACTGTATTCCCTGCGCTGTGCAGTACATCCCCGTGACTGTTCTGTAACTACCACTTTGTACTTATTAATCCCTAATATGTTATTTTATTTTATTTTCCTAATATGTTTTTTTAAAGTTGATTGCTTTTAGAGAGAGCGAGAGAGAGAGAGAGAGAGAGAGAGAGAGAGAGAGAGAGGAAGAGAGAGAATCATCAATTTGTTGCTCCACTGATTCATGCATTGATTCTTGTATGTGCCCTGTCCCCTGTCCGGGGATGGAACCCATAACCTTGGTGTATCAGGATGATGCTCTGCCTGGCCTGGGCCTACATAAGCATTTTTAATGACAGCATCATATTCCATTGAATAGATTTAGCACAGTTTGCTTAACCATTTTCCTATTGGTGAACATTTAAATTGCCTCCGGTTTTTCAATATTATAAAATAACCTGGCAATGAACATCTTTGTCATAAAGAATTTTATTTTTTTCTCTCTAGAATTATTTCCTTAGGATAGATTCCTAGAAGACTGATTGCTGGATATAAACATTTAAAAACCATGGCACGCTTGCTGAATTGAATTCCAAAAGAGAAAGTAATTATTGTAAATGCTAAAATTTTGGAAACAACCCAAAAGTCCATCCAGAGGAGACTGATTACATAAAGCATCACACAGACAAAGACTATACAGTCATACCTTAGAGATGCTGGGAGTTTGGTTCCAGACCTCTGCCAGTAAAGGAAATACCGCAATAAAGCGAGTCACACGCATTTTTTTGGTTTCCCAGTGCATATAACAGTTCTATTTACAATATGCTGTAGTCTGTTAAGTATGCAATAGCATTTTGTCTAAAAAAGCAATGTACATACCTTAACTTAAAAACACATTATTGCCCTAGCTGGTTTGGCTCAGTGGATAGAGCATCAGCCTGCAGACTGAGGGGTCCCAGGTTCGATTCTGGTCAAGGGCACATGCCAGGGTTGCAGGCTCTATCCCCAGTAGGGGGCATGCAGGAGGCAGTTGATCAATGATTCTCTCTCATCATTGATGTTTCTCTCTCTCTCTCCCTCTCTGAAATTTAAAAAAAAATTTTTTTTAAATACTTTATTGCTAAAAAATGCTAACCATCATCTAGCCATCAGAGAGTCATAATCTTTTTGCTAGTGGAGGGTTTTACTTTAATTTGTAAAAAATGCAGCATCTGCAAAGCGCAATAGAACAAGGTATGCCTACAGCTGCTTAAAGGGCAATGCATACTGATTTTCTTTCACATGTTCCCTCCACAACTACTGTGGGGAGGAGGGGGGAGCAGTTTCAGAAAAGAATGTATAGTATTTAGGGGAGCAATATATATGAATGACAAAGTTCCAAAGACATATCCACCAAATTGCTAACTATCACTTTAAGAGAGGGCAAGAACGTAGGAATTTTTCCATTCTCACTGCACACATTTTAATCACTTTCAAATTTCTTACAGTGAGTCTGTATGATTTTTGTGAGCAGAAAGGAATGATCAACAAAACATTTACAAAGGAAAGCTTTTGTATTACTTTTAAAAAGAGTTTTCCCTTTGGGTTTATTTCACGGATAGTAATTCTTCTTTTCTTTACGTGGCAAAATTCACCCCCCCCCCTTTTTTTTTTTTGCTCTCCCCAAATGTCCCAGCGTCCAAACTCCTGGCAGAGACTTGAAAAATAGTCAACTGTCATTATCCCCGGCCCTGCCAGGATCAGCTCTCCTCCCCGGATGAAATCTAGAGTGAGTGTCAGGCTTGCGGGGCGCAGCCCTCGGAGGGAAGGTGCCATCTCCCACCCCTTCCCCCAGCAGACACAGAGGCTCGCAGAGGCCCAGCCGGCAGGGCAGGGGCCGGCTTTGGACCCAGAGCCGTGTGGCTCCCGGGCCTGTGCCCCTCACCACCCACGGGTGGGCTCCAGCTGACCACCCTGCTCAGCCAGGGTCTGAGAGAGAAAAGTTCCGTTTTTAAAAACTGGCTAAAAGTTCTGGGAAGGCGCAGAGGCAGGGGAATGGAAAAAGATGCTCAAAAGGAGGAGAGCACTCCAGGGGCTGAGGCTGCCCCGCCGAGTGTGACACGCGGAAAACTTGACACACGTGACATCCAGGCGGTTAGCGGGAGGACTGGTCATGCTCTTTGGCAAATTGCTCCCTCCTCGCCCACCCTCCCCCACTCCCCCGCACCCCACCCGGGAAGGGAGCCCTGGGGACCACCTCAGAGGAGGCCTGCGGGTGTGGTGCGGGTGTGGTGACTCAGCCCCCAGTCCCTGCTCCAACTTGGAGACGTCCTTAGAAGGAGTGGGAACCACCCCGGGAGCCTCTCGGGGCAGCGGGGTCCAATGGCCTCTCCAGGAGTTTGTTTTTAAGCCCCTGGTTTACGGCCGCCCCTCCCCCACGTCCCCTGGGCTTGGCCACATCAGTCACACCCTTGGCACAGCCCCTGGACAGTGGGGTGGGGGGTGAGGGTGGGAGGATGTGACAGCTCACATCTGCCTCCCTGGGCTGGCATCCAGGGCGCTGCTTCCTTCCCCATCCTCCTGCCTCTCCAATCCCCCCCCCGCCCCCCACCCCCACCCGCCATCTCCTTGACCTCCATCTCGCCCTCAGAGTCACCCCCCGGGACCTAGTCATGCTAACGTCCAGCTCTCTTCCCACATAGGGGGACCCACCTGAGAGCCCTGACCCAGGGACAGCGAGTGGCTCTGGCTTTGCCTACTTGGCCCATGTGGCCCTGAGTGGGGAGGGCCCTGTGGGTGAGCCCCCGCCGTCAGCAGCTCAGAGAGTCTCCCTCCCCGGTGCAGGGTCGGAGTCAGAGGGCAGAGGAGCCGTGTCCCTGCGCCTTGGCAAGGAGGGCAGCCATCATCCTTCCTTCACCCCCTCATTCCTTCATGTGCCCTCTCCCAGCACTGGAGGTGCGCCTGGCCCCGCCCCTGCCTTCAGGGCGGTTAGAATACTGTTTGACGAGGAGAGATGACAGGGAGACCCCCAATCCAGCTCTTGGGGTGGTCGGGCAGGCTTTTGATGGAGGTGACATCCAACAGTGTCTTGAGGAGAGTGAGTCACCCTGGGCTTGGTCCACAGCCCAGCTCAGCTGAGGGCAGAGTTCACGGCAGAGGGGGCGGGCTTGGAGCAACTTTCCCTTTCAGCCTCCGCTGATAAAAACTGGGAGGAAGTGGTGCTGCTGAGCTCCTAACCCCAAAGGGAGGGTAGAGACAGGTTGGCCGGCCAGCTCGGAGCCAGACAGACGTGGCTTGGGATGACGGTGCCAGTCGGGAGCATGCAGAGAAGGGCACATCGGGTGGGTTCTACCAGGAGGGCCAGGGGCCCAGCCAGGCCCCGCGGGGGAATGCTCATGCTGCTGCCCCCCCTCCGCATGCCCCCACTGCCACTCTGGTGGCTGGGGGTGTTTGCTCCGTGCCCCTGTGTACCGGCTCTCTCCTCCGCCTCCCCAGCTCCAGCAGTACCCCGGCTGCGCGAGGAGATGGAGCGCATCGTGACCACCCACATCCGGGAGCGCGAGGGGCGCACCAAGGAGCAGGTGAGCCACAGCGCCTCCTCCCTGGCCTTTCGCCCTGGTCCTCGGCTGTCCCTTCTGTGTCAGCCTTCCGCCTGCTTCCTGTCCTCAGACCAAACCTCTGCTTCTTATTGCGGGAATATAACATAAATTTACTACTTACGTGTGCAGTTCTGTGGTATGAAATCATTCGCGTTGCTGTGCAATCACCACCATCATCCATTCCCAGAACTTTTCATCTTCCCCAAATGAAATCCTGTCCCCACAAATACTAGCTCCCATCCCCCTCCCCCTCCCCCTCAGCCCCTGGCACCCACCACTCTACTTCCTGTTTCTAGGAATTTGACAACTCGAGGGTCCTGGCATAAGTGATAGCGTACGACATTTGTCCTTTTGTGTCTGGCTGATGTCACTTACCATAATGTTTTCAAGTTTACCCGTGTTGTCGTAGCATTGCCTTTCGGGGGCTGAATAACATGCCATTGTGGGGATGCACCACATTGGACATTGGGTTTATCCGTCTGGGTAAACCAAGCTGGCTTGTTTCCAGCTTTGGGCCGTTGCAAGTAGTTCTTCTAGGAACATAGTATCTCTTGGAGACCCTGCTTTTAATTCTTATGGGTAGATACCTGGAAATGGAATTGCTGGATCAGATGGTAATTCTGTATAATTCTATGTATGATCATTTTTTGAGGAACCACCATACTGATTCCCAAAGCAGCTGTACCATTTCACATCCCCTCCCTCACACACACACACCCCAACACCTGCTTCTCAACTTCCTGGCAGTCCGTCCTCTGGCTGTCTCTCTCTGGGCCTCTCTCTCTATTTGTGGTTTCTCTGGGTCTCCCATACCTGTCCCAGCCACCTCTCCTCCTCTCATGTAGCCATTAATCAAACATTCATTCAACCATTGACTCACACACGTGTTACTGAATGCCGTCGCTGAGCGGGGAGGAGCAGAGAGGAGCCGGCCCTCCTCGGGGCCCTCGGGAAGCTCCCAGGCGAGCCCTCTCTCCTGTCCCTCTCGTATCCTCCTGTGCAAGCCCACCTCCCGTCTCCCAGCCTCTGTCCTTGCACATCCCCTTTCCTGGCCTCAGTCCCTCCCATTTTTGTTTTTGAGGTCGTTTATGAATTCTTATTGGTCTCTTTAATTACACGAGTGATAAACACTCAAGGAAAAATAGATGTGATTACGTTACAAGTAAGTGTCCCTCCATCACTCTTCCCTGCTCCCAGCTTCTCCCACAGAATAACCACTATTTTTTAAAATATATTTTATTGATTTTTTACAGAGAGGAAGGGAGAGGGATAGAGAGTCAGAAACATCGATGAGAGAGAAACATCGATCAGCTGCCTCCTGCACACTCCCCACTGGGGATGTGCCTGCAACCAAGGTACATGCCCTTGACCGGAATCGAACCTGGGACCCTTCAGTCCGCAGGCCGACGCTCTATCCACTGAGCCAAACCGGTCAGGGCAGAATAACCACTATTGCCAGCGCGGTGTGTCCCCTCCCGGCATTTTTCCTTGGCACACTCAGATTCCAGGTTCCATCTGACTCTAAGAGAACCGCAGTTGGTTGAACACCTATTACATGTCAGACATGTCACCGGCCTCATCTCATGGTGTCTTTCCTGCTCCCACGAGACGGGAACAATTCCTTTGTGGAACTTGAGGCTCGGAGAGGACAGGCCCCAGGCTCACAGGAGGCAGCAGGTGCATCAGGAATGTCACTCTCCTCGCCACCCAGCGAGGAATCCCATCAGTCTCCGTCATTTACAAAGAGGATCTTCCGAAGCCGGAGCCTAGACACTGTCCTCATCCTTTGAACAGCTTTATTGTTTAGAGCAGCGGTTCTCAACCTGTGGGTTGCGACCCCTTTGGCGGTCGAACGACCCTTTCACAGGGGTCATCTAAGACCATTGGAAAACACATATATAATTACATGTTGTTTTTGTGATTAATCACTATGCTTTAATTATTTTCGATTTGTAACAATGAAATTGGGGGTCACCACAACATGAGGAACTGTATTAAAGGGTCGCGGCATTAGGAAGGTTGAGAACCACTGTTTTAGAGGGTACCATCATCTATTTCACCTTTTTTTTTTTAAATACAGAGAGGAACGTAGAGGGAGAGAGAGAGAAACATCAAAGATGAGAGAGAATCATTGATCGGCTGTCTCCTACACGCCCCCTACTGGGAATGGAGCCCGCAACCTGGGCACCTCCTGGTCGATGATCAACCACTGAGCCACACCGGCCAGACTATTTCATCTTTTGGTGGCCATTGTCCTGTTCCCAATTTTTCTCTACTGCAAACCACACCACACTGAACACCCTGGTGCATGTATCTTTGCCCAGTTGATGAGTCTATCTATGAGATGTAGTTCTAGAAGTGAATCTGTACTTTTTAGTGTTAAATATTACCCGATTGCCCTCCGAGAATTCGATCCTAATTTACACTTCCACCAATAGTTGATGAGAGAATCTATCTTCTCACAATTATGCCCACACTGGCCATTATCAATATTTAGCACTAAACTGATAGGCTTAAAGGGGCCTCGTGGTTTTAGCTCACATTTCTTTATTACTGGGGGTGAACGTTCTTTATGTATCCTTATTGGCTATCTGTATTTCTTCTCTGAGTTACCCATTCCCATTCTTTGACCATTTTGATTTGTGCTGCTTGTGTAGGAACTCTTCATTTATTACGGGTACTGTTATGTGTGTGTGTATTCACTTATTATAGACTGTGGATGTATTTATTATGGACCCTGTAGTGCTGTGAGGATGTCATGCATTTTAACACTTTGTGGTGTCTTTCCCACCTGCCTCCTGCCCGGTGTGTCCTGGAAGGTCATGCTCCTCATCGACATTGAGCTGGCTTACATGAACACCAACCATGAGGACTTCATCGGCTTTGCCAAGTGAGTGCTCCCTGGGCAGAGAAGGTGGTGTGTGTGAGTGTGTGTGTGTGTGTGTGTGTGTGTGTGTGTGTGAGAGAGAGAGAGAGAGAGGCCCAGGCCTTCTGGGTTAACGCTCTGTGTTTGGCGCCCACTGAGCGGTGGCAGTGGAGCTGGGCCTCTTGAAAGGAGAAGTTCTGAGATGAGACTCTTCCCTCTCTCCCCTTCAGTGCTCAGCAGAGGAGCAGCCAGATGAACAAGAAGAAGGCTTCAGGGAACCAGGTGAGTGAGCCCCGGTGCCCCAGCCCGAGGGATGGAGGGTGCCGGACGGACGCCAAGCTCTGAGAGCCCCCTCCCCCGAGGGGAAGGGTCCCACGGGGGCCAGGGAGCCTGTCAGCTGCCAGCCACAAGCCTCCCACTCTGCCTCAGTAACCCTCTCTCCTCTCTCCCGATGCTTCTCGTGGTTGATATGGTTACCTCTTTGCAGGATGAGATTCTGGTGAGTACCAGGACTGGGGCTCTTGGCTTGTGTAGCGAGGGGGAGGATGGGGATGGGCAAGAGGGGACCCTTTGGCTTGAGCGGCTTGCACACACCAGCACAGTTGCCCACACGTGCTCTCAGGCCAGAGGCAAGGCCTCGCCACACAGAGAGTCCCAGCACCCTGTCCATCAATGCACAGGAGCTAAGTGCTACTTCAGGCAGAGGCAGACCATGTGGGCGGGGGTGGGGGGAAATAAATGCCTGGCAGGGGCCTGGCACGTAGTAGGTGCTGCTTAAATGTCTGTTGGATGGACGGACGGGTGGGAAAGAAGCATGCTAGCCATCTCTACCAGGAAATAAAGCGATGAGTGACATGTCATGAGACACGTCCCTCCTCATCTGTTGTGTCCAGATCTCGGTGGACACATCACTTCTCCACCCCCAGTTGTACACACGAGCCACGGAGCCCTGGGCTGCTCCAGAGGCTGGAGTTTCTTTGTAATAATCGAGGTGTTTATGTGATTGTTTCCCTCCCAAACCCAGCAGGGGAAGGGCTGGGTCTGTCCTGTTCACCAGTAAATCCCCAGTGCCCAGCCCTGTGCCTGGCACACGATAGGCGCTCAGTAGAATAAAGTGATTAATGAATGGATTACCCCAGGGCAGTTCGGTTCAGCGAACACTCACTGGGGCCTACACTGTGCTGGCCCCTGGACAGGAGGCAGACCCTGGCCCTGCACCTCGGAGACCCGGCCTGCAGGCAGGGCCCAGGCAGGGTGGGAGTCGGGAGAGGGGGCGGTCCTGGTGTGGGGGCTCTGGAGAGGGGTTTGGGTGAGCAGGGAGGGGGGCAGGGCTGGGGGTGGCCGAGGGAGGACCAAGGCTGCAAGCAAGGGCACGGAGCAGGGTGACAAAGCCGGCTGGTCAGATGCTGAGATCCACAGTGTCAGGGTGTGGCATTTGGACTCAACTCCGAAGGCAGCGACAAGACACTGAGTGGATCTTCACTGGACTGGGACCGGGTGGGAGAGGAGTCCCTGTTAATGGCTCAGGCCATTGCTCAGCTGCTGATCCGCCATGTGACTTGGGTTCTCTTCGAGACTCTTGGGGAAGCCGGAGAGGGTAAGGAGGGCTTCGAGGGTCTCAGAAGTGGGCCTGGCCCCCAGGACTTTCCCCCCGGCCCCAGGATCCTTGGATCTTCTGTGGACGCTCAGAAGAGAAGCCAGGGAGGGAGAAGCAGCTCCCCGTCCTCTCAGTCTGGCCCTCCACCAGGATCTGGGCCTCCACCAGGGTCTGGGCCTCCACCAGGGTCTGGGCCTCCACCAGGGTCTGGGCCGTGGCTCTGCCCTTGGAGTCCAATCCAGGGGCCCCGGTCTGTGCCGCTTCCTGCTGTGGAAGGAGACCTTTGCCTGCAACCCCGAGCTGTCCCCAGGGAGAAGGGGCCTGGGCGTCTCATGCTCAGCCCCTTCCCCCTCCCCCACTCCCTACCACCCCAACCTGTGTCTGGGGCCTGGGGCCAAAGACCCTTAGGACCTACTATTGTAGCACTCAGGCCACGTGTATTCATTGATCACTTCCTGTCTGTTGAGCACTCTGCAAGGTGCTGGGATACAATGATCGAGAGAATTGACAGCTCAACAAGAGAGGCTGACATCGACGGATACACACACACACACACACACACGCACACACACGTTAATTCAAGATCCCAGTTATTGTCATAGTAGAAGATTTAAGGGAGTGGTAAAAGATTATAATGGGGGTCCTGACTTTTACTGGGCGGGGGGGATAGAGAGGGCCTGCCTGAGAATGAATGTGACTTCTGAGCCGATACACAGAGGGGGAGTAGGCATTTGCCGGGCACACAGGAGGGGAAGTGCTCTCTAGGCAGAGGCAACAGCAGCACCTGCAAAGTCCCTGCGGTCAGAAACAAGCCTTAGAATACATCGGATCTTAAGCCGAAAAGGCACACAGAGTTGTCTTGCCCAGTCGGCCGCCTAAGCTCGGCTTGTGCACTGTCAGTGGTGGGGGCTCCTCTCCTCCCCAGCCAGCAGGGCCCGACGCACGTGGCTCTGACGGTCAGCAGGCTCTTTACCCTGAGCTCGGCCTCCCTCTGTCCTCCAACCTGTTCACTGGTGGTTCAAACCAGGCCAGGTCTGGCCCCCACCCTCCCGGACCGGCCGGGCCTCCACGAGCTGGGGGAGGGGTGGGCTTTCGAGGGCCTCTCTTTGCCTCCCCCCACCTCCCCGGGGAAGCCTGGACTCTGCCCACTGACCTCCTGCCCCCTCACCCTGCAGGTCATCCGGAAGGGCTGGCTGACCATTAACAATATTGGCATCATGAAGGGGGGCTCCAAGGAGTATTGGTTTGTGCTGACGGCCGAGAATCTGTCCTGGTACAAGGATGATGAGGTGAGTAAAGGGGTTGGACTGGTGGCCAAAGTCCGGCTCAGAGCCTGTCCCTGGCTTGGCAGGGACTGGACCGCCCAGCAGGGGGGTTTACAAATCCCATCGAAGACCCTTGGGTGGAGCTGGGCCGCAAGGATCAGGGGCAGGCAATCCTGGGGGCCCATCCGGGCTGGGCAGAGAAGGTGGCGTGGCAGGACTGGGGAGCCTGGGCTGAGCACCCTTAAAGAGGGTGGGCGAGGGTGTTGGGCACCCCCCAACCCCAAGCCCCGGCCCTGCAGCCGTCCTGTTCTCCTGCTCCAGGGCGCGCCACCTCTTCTGTGGCCCCCACAGACCCATGACACACACAGTCCAGCTGCCAGCCACCCTGTTAACCCCTGCATCCCAGTCCCCCAGGCCCCAGTGTCCAAGGGACATGCCCAGAGCACCTCCAGGCTGAGGGGTCAGGAGTGATGGGGTCCCACAGAGGCGCCCCTCAAAACCCCTCCCTGCCCCGTGGGGCACACAGACCACCCCCACCAGCCACCGCCCTCCCTGCTGCTGGTCTCCTTTAAGAATGAGTCTATTTGGCTTCCACATCTGGATTCCAGAGGTGACCAGAGAGAGCGGGGAGGGCTGGGGGGGGCTTGTGGTAATGAACTCCAGCTGGTTGCAGTGTGGGGGAGGGGACCCTCTTCTTCCTGAGGGGCCGTTGGAGAAGGGGGCGCCCTCCACTCTCAATGGGGTAGCAGGGCTCAAGGGGGGTGATTTTGGTCTCCCAGTCGTTCCCCCCCCCTTGCTCTCTGCCCCCTTCAAGTCGCCCTGGACAGGCCCCATCCCCACCTTGGGAGGGACCCTCTGTCGTCACTCGCAGGGGCGCCAGGCCCATCTGGACCTCATTACCTCAAGCCTGGCTTCTCCCGGAGCACAGGGCCCGGGGAAGGGATGGAGTGTGAGGTGGCGCGGCAGGCGGGTGTGGGGGCTTTGCTTCCTGCTCGGTGGCCCAGGCCGGCTCCCCTGGGCTGGGGGCGCCCACTGCAGGCCCCACGCCTGACCGTGTGACCCGGGGCTGACCGGCTGCACTGAGGGTGAAGGGAGTGTACGGGGGGCCCTGTCCTCGTACCTGTGTATAAAGGGGTCTTTCTTGGGCTCTGGGTGGACATTTGAGTTGAGCTGTGTGGGAGCGGGCCCTGAGTGTACGTGGGGGGCGGGGAGAAGGGGGAGAGTGAGTGCTGGGAGGGGGAGGGGAGCCCTGTGGCTGTTGTGTGCGGGCGTTGTGTGGGAGGGAGTTTGGGGTGTAAGCATCTAGGTATGTTGGTATATGAGGGTCTCATGTGTATCTGGGGGCAGACTGTGTGCCTGAAGCATGACTCGGGAGTGTGTGCTGTGTTCTTTGTGTCAGTGTAAGTGTGTGTGTGTGTAAGTGTGTGTGTGGGGGGGGGG